CCCTGCGCCCGCGGGTATTGCACCCTGGGCTGAAACCAATTCGATTCGATCTGCCGTTCTTGCGCATATTGGACCGACTGAGAATGAAACGCTTAGCCATCTCATGGAGCCCCTCGCTGTCGGTTTTCTCGACGTGGCTTTTCTCCAAGCTCCTCTTGTGATCAAGCTTGCGTTCGCCCACAGACCTTTGCTGAACCCAAGAGTGACCGCAAGAGGTCACCGCATCAAAGCCGTCAAGGCCAACTTGGTAACTGGGGAGCCCGCTTGAACTGATGGATTGCCGGCATAGTCAGCCAGCCCTGCTGATCCTTACTTTTGGGAATGGTGACATCAGCTAACATGATTTGCCACTCTGCCTTTGCTTTCTCCTTGGACATGCCCCATTTCTCCTTTGCCTTCTTGCGAAACTCTCTGAAATTCAGGTAATTCTTGCCCTTCTTGAGAGTGACAGAATCAGACACCTGCACCTGGCAACAGAAGCGGGCTCCCCAGAGAACCAATGAACTTGAAGTGAAAACACGGAAATAGTAATACGTAATAGGCAATAGGAAATCTGGAAATATCACTGATCCTGCCTGTTCTGTGAGCTGAATAGGAAACTTCTTTCCCCTTCCTAAGGATCTGCCCTTGTTCGAAATGATCTCGTGTCGTTGCTGGCTCTTGGTCATTTTGCTCCAGAGTTGCATTTGACCTTTCTCTTTGTACGCAGCAAGAACGGCCTTCCTAGCTGCATTGCAGGCTTTGCAACTCCAAGCACGTCCACGCTTGACAGCATCTGAGTCCAACGCCAGGTGTTCATCGCAATGACAGCACCTAGGTACAAGGCACTAATATAGCGCAAGGAACTAGGAATTTGCAATTGGAAACGCTGACTAAGAAAAGACCGAAAATCGCTCACAGTGAATGTCATGGTCCAGGCCCATGGTCAAACAATGCGCAAAGCAAAAAAAGATAAGGCATGGACTTCACATTGAGCGGTTTGCCCTTTTTAGGGCTCATCTTCTTGGCTGCAAGCTTGCTGGCAAGCTTGCCCTTGCTGGACTTTGCGGAAGGAGGTGTCTGCGTCTTTTGGTTCTTTCCTGTTTTCTTGGTGGCAGAAGTAGTAGGAGTTCGCGGGGCGGGCAAAGATGAAGCAATTGGAGTCGGAGAGGCCGGCTGAGCATGAGACTCGGCCTTTGAGGCTAGCTGCAAATCTGTGACAGAGGAACCAACCTCATCACCACCTCCATCACTCTCTCCCCTCCTGCTACTGCGACTGTCACTTTTGCCTCCGCCCTCACTCCCACTCTCAGACCCAGATGATGACACCTCGTCTTCCATGTGAGCGTCTACTGGTATTGCCTGGCCACCTCCCTTTTTCGATTTTGCTTTAGCTTTCTTCGGTGGCATGGTGTGCTGTTGTGCGAAAAAGGATGCGCAAACAGCAATTGTGGATCACCTAAGGAAAAGATCCAAGCCAAAATAGCTGTGGGGGGGGGGCAATCAGGTAAGGTGCAATTCACAATCCTGATATGAAGTAGAAATAGGCTTCACATTGGCGCAGTGAGCAAAGAGAAATCTGACAAACATCTGACACGTCTTTTGACTTTGACGCTCAGGCTTTGTCCTTTCTCTTTCACTGTCCGGTCCTTCAGATTGGTTGCGTGAGAAGAACAATTGCAACCAAAGAGCAACCAACACAGGTGAAATGCATAGAATTGCCGACGCGGCCGCACAACGCGGAATTGGAAATACCTACCTGACCTAGCTTCATCTTCTTTACAGCCAAACGCTCAGCCAGTGACTTGCACACAGGCATCCCATGAATGGCTGCCAACTCCACGCCACCTCAGCACATCAGCACATCAGTACATAGGGGTGCTCTCCAGATGTAACACACTGGGACTCTGACTGAAGATCTTTCCAGACTTCAGATGGACCAGCTTTGTCGAATTGGTGGTCAAAGTTGGCAAAGAACTTGATCCCCAACGGGGTCTCTGGCAGGGGTTTTGATTCACATCAACAACTTCTGCCTGCGGAAACATAGATTTGTATCTCTTCAAAGCCAGCTTCTGAGCCGTCGTTAATGTAACATCCGGTCTGGTTTTCCCCAAAAGAAATCTGCTGGGATTGATGATACCAACATTGGGCTTTGACTCCAACGACACGCGCTCGACAAACTTCGTGAATGGCAGGGACATCCTCGGATCAGGCTGGCCCTTTGACAAGACATGAGACAAGGAATAAACTCCTCAACAACCACAGTGGAACCTTCTCAACACAACCACCAACTAACTAAAATCGATAATTTAAATTAGAATCTTCACGCGGGTCTTGTCAATGCAAAGCGAATACTTTCTTTTGCGAGATGTAGGAAACCCAAACATCTCCGGATTGAGCACCACGGTATCTGTTTCATAGTCAGCGCCTGCACTTGTCAGACCCACTGCAACAGCAGCTTGGCCATTTGAACGAAAGACGCAATACAAAACAATGTATTCCTAGTATGAGGATCTTGACCTCTGGAACAGAACCAAGAAATGTGCCTAGCCTAAAATTCGTGACATCTCTTGATGCGGAAAGCCAAGCACGTTCTCATGCAAGAATACCTTTACCTTGCCAGAGCGTACCAGCTTCATCCTTGGGAAAACAGACTCACAAAAAGCAACTTAAACATTAAATAAGCAGGTACTCCAAAGCAGGTACTAAGCATAGTATATATCCCGTTCAACTCCAAACAAGTTCACCTATGTTTGCTCTGAGGGTCAACGTCATGAAGGCTGGAGAAGTCTCTCCAGACTGACCATTGTGTTTCCCAAATGAAGAGAAATCTGGACATGGTGATCCCGCAACCAAAATGTCTAAATAGTCCTTTGTTGCACTTCCATTTCCATGCTCAGGAACTCGCCTGCACTGCTTCTTGTGTGTATGGCAATAGTCAAATTCATTGAGCACTACACTTTCGTCCATAAGCAACTCCTCCAGCTCGCCCCAAGACATCCTGAACATCGACAGCATCAGCGCCAAACCTAGTGTTCAGTGATGCTCTCAAAATCAGTAGCAAGTGCAAAAATGGTTCAGCCATGTGTGGTGGCCTAACTGGTGGCCTATGTTGCTGGTGGCCTATGTGGTGGCCTATGTTTGGCCTATGTTGGTGGCCTACCTGGTGGCCTCTCTCCTTCTAAAGTAGCTTTACAAACGTAGGCCAAACATAGGCCACCACACTAGAAAGGCCACCACTAGAAAGGCCACCACTGAGATAGGCCACCACATAGGCCACCAAACCTGTTTTTGATTCTTAAAATCTCAAAACTCATTTTAATGTTTTCCCACTCACACTCTGTCCACACTCTGTCCTCCTGGAGAAAATGACATTCACAAAAGCTGTGCGGTCCGATGTCGAGTCCAACATCTTTGTCAACTTCAACATGGCTTTGGGTTGGGCGGTTGACGCGAGACCTTTGACACCTCCATGCCCATCATCCAGACCAACAAGAGCAAAGTCTTTGCCCACTGGACCTAGAGAACACTTCAACCGACCTGCTTTTGTGAAGAGCACATCAGCAGTGCCAGTGGTCTTGCCCAGCGACTTCCTAGCAGACCTCAAATCATCCTTGGAAATTCTAAAGGTTTCATGAATTTCCTGAAACATCTTCTTGCGTTGGTCTGGTGGCACAAGCTCTGTGATATCTCCAAAAACACACCTGGTACCATTGGAGTTGGCAATGAGCAGATCCTGGCACACCGGAGTGTAGTCAGCAGAAGATTCCATAAAGGCATTTGGGGTCATGCCAGATTTTTGCAAAACCGACTGCATGGCGAACTCTGCGGTGCCATATCCAGAGAATTCTGAGTACAGTTTGCCAGCCTCAGCAGCATAATTTATTGAAACAAATTGAGGTTAACAAACATAGTGAATGGATGGCTGAGTTTCCTACCTTCCAACATCCAGAGCAGCGCCCTGAAGCAGCCTGAGCTGCCTCAATGAATTTGTCCATGAAACCAAACAACTTCAAGACTTTCTCCGGGACACGCTCTAGCACATCATCCGCTTCAGCTGAGGAAGGTCTTTTTCTTGAAACAAGTTTTGGTTTGGTAACAGCTGACAAGCACTCTTCAGTATCCTCAACAATGGCAAGTCCAGCCATGGCTCTAGCCTGTGCCCATGGCCTGACTTGACTCCAGTGCAGCTGTCACTGATAGCAGCCAGATTCAAGTCAATTCGACGTGACTCACGACTCACGTGTGGAAATTGAAATGCTGACAATTCTAGGAGAACATGATTCATCTACAAACCGACAAACATGTTCTTGCATTCTTTTGGACACTTTGTTTGCTTGTTTGCCTAACACTCCTACCATTCACACAAAGAAATACTTACCTTTTCACCGAAGCAATTCACGCTTGAATGGTTCGTAGTAAGCAAACAGGATCAGGTCGGACACTGTGCGCCGACGGGTCCACGTGTCATACAGACCCCAGCCTCAGAAATTCATTGCTTATGTCTTCCCCAACTCAATCGCAACAAAACAGAAGCTGAGAAAATGACACTTGCCACCATCTCTCTCCACAATCTGTAAAGCCTGCGCAACCAAAACAGACATGTAATCTTTTGGCGTGCTCATTTGCCTTGCCTCATTCACCTGCATTGCTGGCGTCAGTGATGCTTTTTGCACATTTGTCATAACATCAGCAAGCCTGGTCAGGATAGCTACAATATTTGACACCCTGCTTTCTGTTTCTGTTCTGTGATAGGCTCTTCCAATGTCCTTGCACACATTCAAGGCGTGTTCTCCTTGCTCGAACAAAGCCAAGCATAACCAACAAAACTAAGAACGTGAAACACATAATCAACATTAGAAACAACAGAGCCGAGCCGTGCGCCTTTTGACTTACAATGATGCAGCGCTTAGAATTGACTATTTTGGCAGATTGAAATAGAATGCAAAAACAATTGACTAGTGACTAGGTCGAATGTTTTGTTGTCTTTAGCAGCTTAGCAGCTGTTGTTGTGCAGTAGCTGAAGCAATCGAACTTGCTCATCATCACGATCTGCGTTTGCCTCTCCCTGCTGCGGATGCTCTAGCACCTCAACACTCTCTGCATCTGAATGCTGCTGCTGCTCATCTGACTCACATGCAGCTGCAGCAGGTGGAATATCATCACCCAAGGCCGGCGTGCCAGCGCAAATGTTGGCATACACCCGCAGCACTTTGCCACTGGCAATCCTCAAGTGAGCATTGTGAGAGCGTTTTGCGTGAGCAAACCACCCCCCTTACTACTACCTGCCCTGCTACCCTGCCACGCAAAATCGCATTGACCTGACCGGCTGACCGGTGGCCGGCTGCCCGCAATTTGTGCTGCCTGGAAGCTCTGCGTCCTCACTTGGTGCTTTGGCATCACTGCTGGAAGAAGGAATCGCTGAAACAGGCTGTTGAAATGCAAGGTTTCCATCCTCATCGTTCACCAATCGCGGTTGTTGGCCTTCCCCACCACCGCCACCATCACCATCCAATGCTGGAGCCTTGCGTTTGCGAGTCGCTCTCGATGGTGCCAAGACTCCCGCAGCGGGTCTTGGATCAATGGAAGATGCTCCTTCCAGTTCGAAGAGTGCATAGCAGCAGTTGCCAATCACCGCCAGGACTGTACCACAGCAATTTCCGGATAGTTATACATGATCTACAATCTA